TGTCCAATATCTTAGCTATCGCAGTAGCGAGGGAGATTGGGCGATTGTTTCCCTTATCGGAGATATATCCTGTCCCGTTCTTCACTATGGGCACGACAGTAGTTTTCATTAGATCAGCTGGTAAGTACGAGTGGTTGATGCACATATTGAAAAACAGGGACAGGACCCTCGGTAAATGAACCCCCGCATATTTCAGGTGCTCGGTACTAAGCCCGTCATGACCGGGAGACTTTCCTCTGCTCATTCCTTGTATTACACTCTTTACTTGGCTGGTTGTAAATAATAGCAACGGACTTTCCCCGCGCATGCCGGGCCCAGACTCTGGCTTAGTAACAGATGGACCAAGTGATGACCTCACCTTAAAATGTTCCATGAACAAATTTGCAATATCCCCGAGTCACTTTTGCCATCGACACTCGTCGGGAGTCCAGGCCTAATATTCAGTTTCCCTGTGGATTTCCAGAACCTGCTAAAGTTCTTTTCCGCTCTAAGTTTTGCTATTTGGTCCATTTTTATTTGCTCCTGGTTATTTAAGCACCATTTTAGTCTGCCTTTAAAGATTTTACGTGATTCGCACATTTGCTCATATATTAGGCCAGAAGGAGGTCGATCATGCAAAACCCAGTCTTGGAATCGAAGCCTGGCCTCCCGGTGAGCTTTCGTAACATGCTTGTTCCACCCACTCAAAACTTTGTTCCTCCATGGTTTATCTTTAATCTGGGCCTTTGTCTGAACAGCTGCGTCCTGCAAAATATGCACAATACATTTATAAAAGCTGTCCAAAACTAGCTTGTGGTTTTTCAGGCTGCATGACCCGTGGCTGCAATCTACAAACTCAGGAGGAAAGTCGACATCACGTAAGCTGTTATTTCATAGATTGCGGTATCTATTTATCTGCGATTCATCTCTTTCGCCCCAAATCACTGCACTACTCCGCATCTCATGTATTAACAGCTTAGGCCTTACAATATCCAGATTACATTCCAGATAAATGGGCAGATGATCCGAAACAAATACATATTCCAAAATCCCTACATTCTAAATAGTTTGCTGGGCTGATAGGGAGACCACATAGTGGTCAAGCCAGCTCTTACTTCCATGGTACGAGTCGATAAATGTGTACGAGTCGGTTTTTAAAATTTCTACATCCGCACAAACCTAAGATCTATCCGTACAAAAACTATTTAGCTCTCTATAAAATAGCTCATATGGATGAGCATTGAAATCGCCTAATATATATGTAGTTTCGACATCGCTGCTGTCTTCAATCGCACTTATTTCACTTAGAACTTCAGTGAAAATAGGCAGGTTTTATTAAGATTTTGTTGGCATGTACACTGAAAATACTAAGATATTACGACCGCTTGTAGTACCTTTGATAGCAGCTAGACGTTTACTATTATATTCCACGACTGCAGTGTCGAAAATGTCTTTCCTCCAGAGGATGGCTACTCCGCCATACGATCTCCCCCCTCAGAATGCTGGCGGATGTATCCACAGCAGATTTACCGGTATACTCAAACTCACTGGAAACCGTTCCCAGTAACGGAACGTCGTGATTGAGGAGCCACGTCTCCTGTAGACACACTATATTGCTCGTTTTACATAACTTCCTAATATCTTCTACAGAAGTCTTGAAGTTTTTACAATTAAAACTAATTAGTTTACAATAATTGTTTTGTACACTACACATGATTTTAAAATGTAACTAACTACAATTTTTACCACTGTCTTGGTTATTGCCATACAGAAAATGCACAAAGCGCCTAAAAGTAATGCCATCGGGCCAAAATTCACCATTTAAAAACAAATTTAGCTTATTTTTTGACATAAATAATTTGTATGCGTTATATTTTCTTATTAGATTTCATTTTAATCGATTTTACCGACACTGTTTCATTCGTCCTGTCTTTAATATAACTTATAATGTCCTGATCACTTGTTTCTTTACTTACGTTAACGTTACGGCTTAGATAGGGTTTTTGGCTTAATTAGTTATAAATTAATAATTAAAACTCAAAATAATTAATAAAATAAACTTTAATTATAAAAAAGAACACAAAATACAAAAGTTCTCCTAAAATTCAACGAATTTTCTTTATATCTAAAAAAGCTTTTAGTCTAAGCCAATATTATAAAACTAGAAATATGTAACATTATAAAAAAATATAGAAATAACTAAGTTTCTATATTCTAGCGAGATCTTTCGTCTAAATCAGTACAATTTTGGCACATCAGATTTGCGTGTTCCTTACATATTGCAACATTGCATTTGAAACATCCGTTCAACGTCTTCCTATCTTTATTTCTTGGAAAAAAAGAACACCTTTGCGACTTACTTGGTTGCTTTTGTGGCGGACCTGGTACCTCTTCATCCAAAATTTGGTGCACACGTTTTCTAATATCTCGAGGAACATGAGGATTGTCTTTTCTTTTTCTTAGATGATCTTCCAGCAATGAAAGTCCCAATTGCTTGATAAAGTTCCTCCTTATATTGCTTATATGTATTATAAAATTCTATTTGCATGATTCAGCAAGGAGAAAAACAGCGTAAGTGGCCAGCGTTTACTGTTGCGGGAAACATCGTATGTTCTTGAAAGCTTGTCAACTACATCGACTCCACTTTTTGTCGAGTTGTAAAACGTTATAATAGATGGTTTTCTTTGGGTCCCGCTATCTGGACCTATTTCATCATCATGGTGCAATGAGGACATCATATGTACACACTTTCGTGGTTTAGGTATATAAGACACAATGGTTATGTCATTTTGAAAACCAAATATCGACGATTTTTCTTCACGTCTGGCTTTGCATTGGGTAGGAAGGCACGCCTTGTTTGACCGTAGGGTACCAACAGCAGTCAATTTGTGGTTTTGAAGTAAATTTTCAGCAGTTTCGAAGCTCATAAAAAAATTTATCCATTGTTATATTTCTTCCAGATCCAGACACACATCTCACTAAACGGTTTAAAACATCGAATGGCTTGTTACTCACTGCGTAAGGGCTACTGTCAGGCTGTTTACCACAGTAAATTTCCAGGTTCATTGTATAAAATGTTTTTGCATCCACTAGTGCATACATTTTTAACCCATACTTAGCTGGTTTAGAAGGAAAGAATTGAAGGAAAGAACATCTTTCTCTAAAGGTCACAAGTTCTTCGTCGATAGTCAAGTACTCAAACGGTGTATAGGCATCCTGACAGTTTTTGACGAAAACTTCAAATACGTCTCTTATTGGTGCCAAACGATCGATAGCAGCTCTTTCTGTACGCGTTGATGCGTCATCAAATCTCAAGTTATTTACCAAGAACATAAATCTCTGTCTAGTCATAGTATTTCTAAATATTTCGATACCAGTGCCATCATTAGCCCATAAATCTATAATACTTTGTCTGTTAGATCTATATGAACCTGCCAGTATCAATAATCCGAAAACAGCTTTTAGCTCTTCTCTGTTAGTTTCTTTGGTTGACGGATTAGGTTCAGAGTTTTCCAATCTCAAACAAATCAAATTTCACAACTCAAACTCACAAATCAAAATTAAATTCAAAACAATGTCAACAAGTTCTTCTGTAAAAAATATTTCAAAGCATTCCAAGTGTGTTTTTTTGTCACGAACAGTAGGTTTACACCCAGGCAAATGCGTTATTATGTTCTCAGCCCTTGTTCGAACATTGGTCCGTGGTGGCGTTTTGTACCACTTGGTTTTGCCATCTTTGCCTGTATAAAATGGTAGCGTTAGAGGCGTTTCTTCTATAGGTTCAGGGTCTTCCATGTCCGTATCACTATCAGATTCAGACGCCTCGCTGATGTGATCGGAATTATGATCACTGTCGGAGGGATAGTTTTCATCGTCTTCTGACACATTTTATTCAATTAAAGCCGCCGCAATATCACCATCTTGCATCCTATTTGCCATCTTAATTAAACTCTAACTGTAATAAAACACAAACTACATAAATATAACCAAAATAAGGTTGAAAATAACAAAGAAACATAAAACTGCATACATACCTTTTCAGCACCGTCCCGGTGTTTTTACGGTTTTAACCCCACGTACAACGTGGGGTTAAAACACCGGGACCCGCTATACACGCGTGCACACACGAGCGCGTTCCGCGCAGCACTGATCCAAGGTCAGGAGTCGACGCGGCAACTTTTAACATCCAGCTACTGGGAATTTCAATATTATTGCTCGATTATTACTTGCAAGTCGACGTATTTTTTTGGAGCTGGGGTTAAAAATACCCCACGTTGTATGCCGAAGGTTAAAATAGGGTTCAGTGATTTTAAATAAGTTTTTATTTTTATGTATGTCTGAAGTATTTAAAGACCGGTGCAGTTTGGTGCTGATGATTTCGAAATTGTTCGTCGTCAGTTTAACATTATAACATGGCTAACATAACAACGTCAAACTCTGGCACAAATTGATTGATTTTTGTGGCTTAAATTACGTACGTAATAAACGTACGTGCGTAGATACGGTACCGTAAATATCGTTTATGTTTCGTTCGTGATTAAATAATCATAAATAGTGTTAAAAGGTAATAGATACTAACAAAACTCATATCATTTTAAAGTGCATCAAATATAGTGTCTGGTAGTGCAATAAGAATTTTGTTATATTAACAGCCATAACAACAAACTCAGTGTATATTTTGGTGGCGTTAATTATTAATTCACCGTCTCAGTAACAAATATCAAGTGCGGGTCGTTGTTATACGTGCATTCGGTCGATTTCGGTGGAGCTCGGGCCAATTCGCTTATGACTAAGGAGTACCTAGTTGCGTCTCCTCACCTCTGTAAATCTCGTGCGTAAGCGTTGGCGCTCGGGGCACTTTGGTGATCGACTACAAAGTGCTACGAAATTTGCTACGATACGCTATCGCATTGCGGCTACGCATTATCCTTCATTGGCTACAAATGTGTATGCAACTTTTGTTAACGTCTTGAGTATTTGGTCTTGATCATTGTTTCGAACTATTCGATTCAATTACGAGCATGGAATGTGGTGCGTGTAGACACATTATCGAAGATGGCGGCCTCATTAAATGCGCTGGTTGTGACAATACGTTTCATTACGAGTGTTGCAACATAGAGAAGCAAGTGTATTTCGACGAATACGTGGAAAAAAAGCAGAAGTGGTATTGCCCATCCTGTACTAATATAACTCGGCGCAGAAATGATAGTACACCAGTTGGTAAGCGGGACATACGTTCCCTCCAAGCAAGTCAGGCAGATATTTCTAATATGTCCTGTGATGAAAAGCTGCAACGATCATCACGCTTGAAAAAATCTAGTAACAGTGCATCTCAACACGCGTTGCGACAAAAAAACTCGGAATCCGTTACCATAGAACAAATCGAAGCTCTACTCGATCGTAAACTAAGTACTTTCAAGATAGATGTAGTGCAAGAAGTACATACAATGGTGACGAAAGAATTTAACCATACCATCAATAAGTTAGAATCGGATTTCACAGTAGCCACCGATTTTCTTCAGAAAGGGCAGGATGACCTTCTAAAGGAACTTGAGGTGGCTAATAATAAAATTAAAATAATGATTTCTTAAATTTACGCGAACACTACACATTGAATAAAACTATTATTTACGGATTTTATCGCGTTTAATTACTTTAATTTATTTTTATTATTATCCCGACGTTTCGGGTGCTTTACAGCGCCCATGGTCACGGGGGGGACTGAGATGTTTGACGTCCCAATGTCATAGTTAGTCCGGCTACCTTCAGTTTTTTAATAATAATTTTTGGTCCGATTTACGCAAAACGAGCTTATAGTATCATGAAGTCTTGCAGTGGTATGCTTGGGTTTGGGTTTAATTTTGTTAATTATAGGATCCCAAGCAGGTGGTAGCACCCAACCATCTTCTCTATTGAAATTTGGATGTTTTTTTAATTTCAATAGCCTCGCGTATCATCCTCGGTAGGAATCGGTGTTCTTTTGCGAGAATTTGTGGTTTATCAAATCTAATGTAATGGTGGGGACGATCTTGAACATGTTCGCAGACTGCAGACTTCCCGGAGCGTCGGTGCTTCACATCAGCTATATGTTCCTTCACGCGGGTTTTTATAGATCTCTTTGTTTGACCTATGTAAGAGAGACCACATTCACAATCTAGCTTGTACACACCTGCATCTTGTAGAGGAATATTACATTTGATGGATGGTAAAAATTGACTAATCTTCTTCAGCGGCTTGTAGTATGTCTTAATGGACGCTCGCTTCAAGATGTAGCCAATCTTGTCTGTGACTCCTCTAACATATGGTAGTAGAGCAGGCGCGCGCTCGACTGTGGCCGGCTTCACTCGTTCACTGTGATGTAGGCGCGGGACCCGAAGCTTGTTGTCTTGCAATACTTGCTTGACGTGCTGAAGCTCCGCGGCCAGATGTTTTCTGTCACAGATCCCTCGTGCTCTCTGAAACAAAGATTTACCCACGGTAGCTAACTGTGAAGGATGATGGTGAGATTCACCATTTAAATATCGGTTGGTATGGGTCTTTTTCCTATACACAGTGTGACCAATAGTGTTATCAGGATTTCGGATGACTAAAACATCTAGGAAAGCTAAAGAATTATTTGCCTCTAACTCCATTGTGAATTGTATTTTAGAGTTTATGGAGTTAAGGTGGTCTAAAAATGCAGTTACTTTAATAATTTCTTATATTTACGCGAACACTACACATTGAAATAATACTAATTTTTACGGAATTTATCGCGTATATTTAACTTTTTTACCCGACGTTTCGAGAGCTTTACAGCACCCATGGTCACGGGAAGGACTGAGATGTTCAACGTCCATACGACGTACGTGTATAGAAAAAAGACCCATACAGATAGATATTTAAACGGTGATTCTCACCACCATCCTTCACAGTTAGCTACCGTGGGTAAATCTTTGTTTCAGAGAGCACGAGGGATCTGTGACAGTAAACACCTGGCTGCCGAGCTCCAACATGTCAAGCAAGTTTTGCATGACAACAAGCTTCGGGTCCCGCGCCTACGTCACAGAGAACGAGTGAAGCCGGCCACAGTCGAGCGTGTACCTGCTGTACTGCCGTATGTTAGAGGAGTCACTGACAAGATTGGCTACATCTTGAAGCGCGCTTCCATCAAAACATACTTCAAGCCGCCGAAGAAGATTGGTCAGTTTTTACCATCAGTCAAGTGTAACGTCCCTCTGCAAGATGCAGGAGTGTACAAGCTTGATTGTGAATGTGGTCTCTCCTACATAGGACAAACTAAAAGATCAATTAAAACCCGCGTCAAAGAACATATAGCTGATGTGAAGAATCGACGCTCCGGGAAGTCTGCAGTCTGTGAACATGTACAGGATCGCCCCCGTCACTACATCAGATTTGATAGACCACAAATCCTCGCTAAAGAACACCGATTCCTTCCAAGGATGATTCGCGAGGCTATTGAAATCAAAAAACATCCTAATTTCAATAGAGAAGATGGCTGGGTGCTACCATCTGCTTGGGATCCTATAATAAATAAAATTAAATCCCAACCCAAGCATACAACTGCAAGACTCCATGATACCATAAGTTCATACTGTGTAGATCGGAACAAAAGTTAAATTTTAATCTATGGTAACCGCGGTTAACTATGACAGCTGGACGTTGAACATCTCAGTCCTTCCCGTGACCATGGGTGCTGTAAAGCTCTCGAAACGTCGGGTAAAAAAGTTAAATATACGCGATAAATTCCGTAAAAATTAGTATTATTTCAAAATGCAGTTCCTTTGTCAGATGGTAAAATTGTGAAAGTGTCATCTACGTACCGCTTGTAGAACCTTGGATTTACAGGAGCAGTAAGAAGGGCTTTCTCCTCAAAGTCCTCCATGAATATGTCGGCGACTATGGGAGACACAGGTGAGCCCATCGCCACACCATCTACTTGCTTGTAGAACTCCTCCTTCCACAATAGATAGCCAGATGTGAGGCAATGTTCAAGTAGTATTGCATATTCTTGAGGCATGTTATTTTCTTCTAGCTTCCTAGTTACAATTGAGATGCAGTCCACAATAGGTAGGAATGTAAATAGTGACTGAACATCAAAACTGACCATAGTTTCATTGTTAGCGAGATGTAGGTCTTTTATCTCACTCACAAAATGGTATGAATCCTTTGTGTGTGCTCTGGTATGTCCTCTTAGTGGTGATAGTATTTTTGCTAAGTATTGTGCCAGCTTATAGGTTGGTGAATCGATCTGGCTCACTATGGGACGTAGTGGAGCGTTTGGTTTGTGTATCTTCGGTAACCCATACAACGAGGTTGTATGGGTTACCGAAGATACACAAGATACACGTTTGGTTTATGTCAGAGGAGTCACAGACAAGATTGGCTACATCTTGAAGCGAGCGTCCATTAAGACATACTACAAGCCGCTGAAGAAGATTAGTCAATTTTTACCATCCATCAAATGTAATATTCCTCTACAAGATGCAGGTGTGTACAAGCTAGATTGTGAATGTGGTCTCTCTTACATAGGTCAAACAAAGAGATCTATAAAAACCCGCGTGAAGGAACATATAGCTGATGTGAAGCACCGACGCTCCGGGAAGTCTGCAGTCTGCGAACATGTTCAAGATCGTCCCCACCATTACATTAGATTTGATAAACCACAAATTCTCGCAAAAGAACACCGATTCCTACCGAGGATGATACGCGAGGCTATTGAAATTAAAAAACATCCAAATTTCAATAGAGAAGATGGTTGGGTGCTACCATCTGCTTGGGATCCTATAATTAACAAAATTGAACCCAAACCCAAGCATACCACTGCAAGACTTCATGATACTATAAGCTCGTTTTGCGTAAATCGGACCAAAAAATTATTATTAAAAAACTGAAGGTAGCCGGACTAACTATGACATTGGGACGTCAAACATCTCAGTCCCCCCCGTGACCATGGGCGCTGTAAAGCACCCGAAACGTCGGGATAATAATAAAAATAAATTAAAGTAATTAAACGCGATAAAATCCGTAAATAATAGTTTTATTCAATAAAATTAAAACCCTAGAACTTGAGCGAACTACACTTAAGTCAAATATTGAGTCATTAGATCGTCGTCTTGAGCGTCGAAAAAATCTCACGAAGCCATAACGTTGAAATCCAAATGGTTCCGGAAAAACGTCATGAAAATTTACTACATCTTATACAAAAACTTTATGACACCGTGAATGTAACTCTGGATACGAACTGCATCTGTGCTGTTCGTAGAATTGCTAAAATTAATCCAAAGTCCGACAGACCACGAAACATTCTCCTTACACTACAAACTGAGCGGCAGAGGGACATTTTATTATCGGCAGTAAAACGTTACAACAAGACTAACCACCCCAATCACTTAAACTCTACCTGCCTTGGGATTGAAGGAGAATATCGTGCCATATATGTAAATGAACATCTCTCTTCTACTACCAAAAAGCTTTATGCTGAAGCTAGGAAGTTTGCGAAAGATAACTCATACAAATATGTTTGGATTAAATATGAACGTGTGTACATGCGGAAAAATGACAACGAATCAGCATTATTGATTAGAGACTTTAGTAACTTTGAGAAACTTAAAGTAAAGTGAGTTTGTTTTAGATTAAGTGAATTAAAAAAATTTGTAATAGCTGAATTGACTGATACATTTACTTGGATTCTTAACAACGTTCTTACATGAAATTTCACTACCAAAATGTAAATCGTATAAGATCAAAGACAACAGAGTTATATTTAAACATAAATAAATTGCAATTACGATTGTATTTGTTTAACTGAAACAAACTTAAATCATACTGTATTTGATAATGAGCTGTTCGATTGTCGTTACATTGTATACCGGAGAGACCGAGAGTCTACTTGTATTAACAAATCTGAAGGTGGAGGTGTACTGATAGCTATTAAAAAAGGAGTTTAAGGTAATTCGCCATAAAGAATGGGAGAGTGACATTGAAGAATTGTGGATATCGGTTTTGCTCGATTGTCCAATGAAGTCTGTCATTAACCTATGTCTCTGTTACCTTCCTCCTGATTTACCCTCTAATAAACTTAAGTACTTTTACGAGAACTTACATAAAAATTTAAGTACAATATCCTCAAATGACACTAATATAGTACTGGGAGATTTCAATGTGCCAAGTTAATAGTGTGCCATGGTAATAGTCCTTACCTTGCTCCAAGCTGTCCCACAGACTCTAAGGCTACATTATTATGTAATTACATTTCTCAATGCAATTTATATCAGATGAATCATGTTCGGAATGAATTAGATCGCACTTTAGACCTTGTTTTGTCCTCCTCTACTAGTATTTTAATTTCTGAAACTAGTCCATTATCCCGTATCGATAAATATCACCCTTCACTTGAAATATCGGTTAACACACTGTCTAAGCCAAAGTATATCAAACCTAAGTATAATAAACGTTTTAATTTTGATAAAGGTAACTATGACGCTATACGTAGAGAAATCAAGGGTGTTGATTGGGGGACTCTCCTTTCAGACGACCAAGTTGACTTGGCGGTGGATTCCTTTCATTCAGTAATTAGCGAAATTATTGT